GGCCCTGCAGCGCTGGCGACAGGGACAGGGCTGTGTCTAGCGGCTTCCTCCCCGGCACACAGCATCCTGCCCGTGCACCCCTTCCCTGCCGGCTACCAACGCCGGCCAGGGCCACCTACGCCAGACGGGCAGCGCTGCTGCAGCCCCCCTGCTCCATCCCCCAGTGTCCCCGAGCACCCCGGGATGGAGGGGCAACATTCTGCCCTGGTGCGGAGCCCAAGGCATGAGCCGGAGGTGCTGGCAAGGACAGGTTCCCGCAGGCAGGGCTTATTGAAATGAATTTAATATCTCATGTTGCAGCAAAATTAAAAATATACAAAAAGTTTGTGGTATACAAAAAAGTCTTGGTACGGACCACGGCCTATCGCTCGCCCCCTGCCCGCGCCGAGGGTCCCAGAGAAGAAGGTGGCACACAGAGTATTTACAGTACGTGACAGTGGCCGCCAGGTCCCGGCGCCAGGGGGACTGAAGACGTGGCCAAGACTCCCCAGCAGTCCCCGCTGGGAACAAATGGCCCTGGCCCAAACCTCTCCCCACTCCCTGGAGCCGGGATGGCCCCACTGCCACCCCCCAGGACCCCCATCCCTAGTGGGAGCTTGAGCACCCTTGGAGCTACCCCCATCCCACAGCACCTGGCTTGGCCCCAGGTCATGTCCCCTAGCCACGGTCCCAGTGCTACCACCAGCACCGGAACACTGGGTTTGGCTTCCCCTGCAGGCTACTGGGTGGCAGGAGGGTGGCCAAGCTCTGGGACCAGGATCGGCTCCCATGGCTGCCCCATGCCCCCCCCCAGCTCGGTGCTGCCTGCTGCTGAGACCCCTGCCTGGACCAGCCCAGGACTGAGGGTACCGTGGCTTGAGTGCATAGAAAAGTGTCCCTCTGTCCCGCCAGCATGGCCCCAAGGTCCCCCATGCAAACCCCAGGGGCGAAGGGCATGGAGAAGGACGGTGCAGGTAGCCCCAACCGGTGGCTCCTCTCTGCCCTTGAGGGGACAGAGAGAGGGGATGGGGCTGGGGGGGAGCAAGGGGAGCTGCCCCACACCTCTCCCCGCTCCCCCATGTGGCCCATCCTTGATGGCTCCCAGCTTTGTGAGTGGGACCTGGCAAGGAGCTGCTGCTGCCTGGGCACCCACGAGAGGGCTGCGGGGTGAGCCTGGCTCCCCCGGCCGCTGCCCCCGACCTTCCCTGAGGAAAAGAGACCCCCCCACAGAGCCACGCCGTGCCTGGTGCTTCCCCTGGCACGGTCAGCACCCACCGCCGGGGTCTGCCCATTACTGGCGGTGAAGGAGGGGTGCGGGTCGCAGGGGGCCTGGCCCACTGCCCACCCCCAGACATCCTCTGCACCCTCCTCCAAAAGTTTTTTCCGAGGCTTCCAGTTAGCACCAGTTAGCACCAGTGACCCCAGCGACGTCCAGCCCCATTCCGCTGTCACCCCGACCTTCCCGCTAGAGAGAAATGAGAAACAAAAGCAACATGATGCTGCGAACACCACACACCCCGTGCCATGGGGACGGGCACCCACGCTGCCCCTCGGGGACCCTGTGTCCCGGCCTGGCGGGTGGCAGCCAGAGCCATTCCCAGGCAGCTCCCCCACACCAGCCCTCCCCGCGGCCGGCGCGGTTCCTCGTGGGGGTTCCACGGTGGGACCGGTGCGGGGATGCCCACGCTCCACTGCCCAGGGCTTGGCACTGTGGCATGGAGTGGCTGGGACCCTGCGGAGCTGGTGCAGGGGGCACAGGGGGGATGTGGGGAAGGCACAGGGACCATGGAGGGGGGACGACGAGGGGATGAGGTGATGCAGAGCCGCAAGGTCCGGCAGCTCCCTGCCCTGCTAACCCCTGCCAGCCCCCTGCACACACACACACACACACGTGCACACACAGGCACACACACGCGTGGAAAGCCCTGCCCCGGGGGGAACAGGGTACATTCAGCACAGCCCTTCGGGTCAGGGCACGACTACAGATCCGGTCAGGACCAGGGGACACATTCAAATCCGGAGCCCGGGGCAGCCCCACTCCTCTAGGCAGGCAGGGGTAGGCAGGGGGGGAGGCAGGGGGAGGCAGGATCCCAGCTCACATTTATACTGGGGAGCTGGAAGGGACTGATGCCGACGGGGGGGATGGATGGAAACGCTCCCGGGTGGGAAGCGATGCCAAACCCGGGAGGGGAGAATGGCTGTGGGGTGAATCCCGCTTTGGGGAGCTCTGGGAATGCCAGCAGCCCAGCACAACCCCCCCCTTCCCAGCAGTGCCAGCCAGGCCCTACCTCCCCCGGCCTCAGCGGAGGTAGAAAATGTCACACAAAATGTCACTATTCAGGTGAAAACAAACCCAATGAGATGAAGCGGTTCCCATGGGGACGGGGCTGGGGGGGGAGAAATGGGGTGCAGCCATCCCCTGCCACCCCAGCTGGAGCCGGGGTCCCAGCTCAGTGCCGGGGGAGCAGGGTCGGTCCCCACCTGAGAAGGTCTCCCCCGGCCAGGGTCTGCACCCCACAGGTCAGCAGGGATCCCGTGGAGTGGTGGCACGGCTCAACCCCAAGCTGGGGGGGGGACCAAGGATGGAGATGAGGGGGCTCCCCCATGGCTGGCATTGCAGGGCAGGGGGGATGCAGGAGACATGGGTGGGCTGGTCAGACCCCGGCTGTCCCCTGCCCCAGCTCCCTGGGGGTGACAGGAACCCCACGCACACCCCGGTGCAGCCGTGCTCCAGCCCCACAGCCCTACCATGGCACAGGCATGGGGCAGCCCCGCACCCTTGTCCCCATGTGCTGCCCACCTGGGCTGTGCTGTGCCCCACTGTGCCCCAAGACCTTCGCAGCCCCCAGCCCCCGGCCTGGGGGTGCCCCTGGTTCCCATCCTGCACCGCCGACCTGGTCAAGCACTGCGGGGCCATAGCACCCACCACCTTGGCCTTAGGCTGCGGTGAGGTATTTTGGCAAGGACGATCCCCGGGGGGAGCTGGGGTGGCTGCTGCAGGGTGGAACGGGGGCCTTGGCTGTGGGAGGGCGGCACGGGGGGGGGGTGGGCCCCA